GTATTATCTACCAGTATGTACCTTAACATGGCATTTCTTTTTGAAATGAGAAAGTTTTGAATACTTAAAATACTTACATATACTTAAAAAATTTATGGATTTGGGGGCCAGGTGTGGTGATGCATACCTTTAATATCAGCACTCAGGAGGCAGAGGCAGGTGGATCTCTATGAGAGAGAGACCAACCTGGTCTTCATAGTGATTTCCAGAACAGCTGGGGGCTACAGAGAGACCCTGTCTCAAAAAAAAGAAAAAGAAAACATTATGAATTTTGGACTGGTGGGTAAAAGTGCTTGCTGTCAAGCCGGACTACTTGAGTTTGATCTCCAGAACCTACATGGTAGACAGAACAAACTCCTGAAAATTATCCTCTGACCTCCACATGCATACCATGGCATACCAACCCCCACCCCTAACAAGTAAATGAGTTAAAAATAAAAGAATAACAAATAGCTAACACTTATTCATTACTCATTGTGCACCAGGCACTAGTTTAAGTGCGTGCATGCATGCGTGTGTGTGTGTGATGTATGTGTGAATTGATTTAATTCATACAACAAGGTCTACTGTCATCCCAACTTAAAGACGAGGAAGCTGAGGCAGAAAGAGGCAAGTCATCTACCCAGTTAGATGGCTGGAAGTGTTTAGTTTTGTTTTTAACTTTCTACCTTCCTTTTATCTCCAGTCCCTTTGGTTTGGCAGTAGTGACTTGAAAATGAAAAGTTCTTGAAATCTATAGTAAAACATGACCACATGCAGTGGTGTTTTAGAAATGATAATTATTCATTATATCATTTTCTAAATGTTTAATGTAAGTGTGGGCATGTCAGGCAGGAAGCAGGGCTTCAAAGCATATGGGTGCATTCTAAAATAAGAAAACATGGACTTTACACTTGATCATTGTGGAAAGAAGGCGAAGAGTATTAAAAAAGCAAACCAAGGACTGGGGAGATGGCTCAGTGGGTAAAGTGCTTACCGAACAAGCATGAGGTCCTGAGTTCAGATTCCCAGAACCCAGCATAAAAGCTGGGTTTAGTGGTAAATATTTATAATCCCAGCAGTAGGAGTCAGTGACAGGAGGATCTTAGGGCTTGCTGCCCAACCAGTTGAGATTTAATGGCCAGCTCAGGGCTCAGAGAGAGGTCCTGACTCAAAATGTAAGGTGGAGATTTACTGAGGAAGGTGCTTGATGTCAATCTTTATGAGCTGGCATAAGTGAGCACACCAGCACACTTGCATACACACATACCACATACCACATTCACACACACACACACACACACCCCACCACCATACACACATTGACACAAACATACACACCACTACCATGCATACATGCCCCACAAAATAAATCACAGATTCAATTAAATTTTTATGATATTTTAAAGTTGTATATATTTATGGGGCAGTATAATAATCTGATAT